CCTAAACTATGGAAATTCTGGTATATTCCTTATTATGCATAATGCAGGATTTATATCATCAACCGTAGTAATACCCTGAAGCCCAGCCCAAACCCAAACTGGCCCAGCACGCCCAAAAGCCTTATATACTAGGGTCTTGGGGCCCAACAGCCTTAAACATATGAGTCCTTTGAGGGCAAGGGTGAAGCCCAAACCCAAACTGACGCCTATAAACCCTAAACCCTCCTAAACCCTAAACCCTAAATCCTAAACGCCCAAACTGACCCAGCAGTGGCAATTCACAGCCTCGACGTACTTCTGCTGGGAGGCGTGAGTCCGTATCAGATCATGACCTTCCACACCCAGAGGGTCCAAGTACCCAAATAGTAGGGTTTTAGGTGGTTTAGGGTTTTAGGCGGTTTAGGGTTTAGGTCCCAATTTCCATATTCTGAATGGGTTTTTGGCATTTGAAACCCTACTATTTGAGTACTTGGACTTATAGGGTTCCACGGATAACCGACGGACTCCAAGACCGCCCCGATTTAAGGGAATAGTATAAGCACCTTGGGGCCAAAGTACCCTAAACCGTAACCCGATACCTGACACCCTAAACCCTAAACCATCTTAAACCCTGAACCCTAAAGCCTAAATCCAAAGCCATTACTCTATGGTTGATGATATAAATCCTGCATGACCCGAAGCACTCTAAACTATGGAAGCTATGATAGGTTCCTTATTATTGGTAATGCAGGATTCAGATCATCAACGGTATTTGGGTACATCGAGCCCCTAGACCCCAACACCCAAACCCTGAACCCCAAAGCCCCAACACCCAAACCCTGAACCCCTAAACCCTGAACCCTATACACCCTAAACCCTAAAACCCTCAACAACGGGCTTAGGGTTTAGGGTTTAGGGTTTGGGGCTTAGGGTTTAGGGGTTTAGGGGTTTATGGGTTTGGGGTTTAGGGTCTTGCGGTTTAGGGGTTAGGGATTTGGGGTTTAGGATTGAGGGTTCAGGGGTTTAGAGTTTAGGGTTGCCCCAAGGGTCCAAGTGCTCAAGTGATAGGGTTTCAGGTGCAAAAAATGTTCAGAGCATGGAAGTTGGGACCCAAAACCTTACTATTTGGGGAGTTGTCAAAATTATGGTCCCTTTTCGGGTCCTTATTATAATACGGCACCTATTATTTAGGGTACCCCAAAACGGACCCTAATTTTGACAACCACCCATTCGGGTACTTGGACCCTCTAGGAAAGCTTTTATATTAGCTGTGTTTTCCTGTGTGGTCCTGTTGACAACCCGACATATGGACTGCACTCAACGCTGCGAAATGCAAAATGACATAAAGACATGCCAGACCCTTGCATCATGCTCTTGCTAACACAAGACCCCTCTACATTGCGGTCTGTACGGGGTGTCGTTCTTAATATCTACATAAATATATATATATATATACATACACATACATATACATGTATATAACTGTATATACATATATATATATATAGAGGAGATTCCCAAAACAAGGGGGTACCTGGGGTGGCGCCCCGGTAAAGTACACCTGAATCCTAAACCCTGAACCCTAAACCCTAAATCCGAAACCCTAAACCCTAAGGGTTTAGGGTTTAGGGCAATGGCCTCGGTTGGCCCAGAACTCCTTGCGCCGCAGGGGCCATAAGAATGGATACGCTCTGTCGGTGCACTTTGCCCTAAGGGTCCATGTGCCCAAATAGAATAGACTTTGGCCCCAAAGTGCCTATATAGGGACTACTTTGAGCCCCGAATATATACTAGTTGGGCACATGAACCCTTAGGGTTGTACACGTTTCATGACTATAGTAAACCCCAGAAAGTTGGAAACCGGATTAGGGACAATTAGTGCTGGACTCCCTATACATGACTCTTATAAGGATTGAGGCTATTGGGTTTCCAACTTTCGGACTGTATACTGAGGACCCCAAAAGGAGCAGTGCTTCAACTCATTCAGGGCGCCTTCATGAGGTCGTTGTTTTGTTTCCCAGAGGGTCCAAGTACCAAAATAGTAGGGTTTTCGGTCCCAAATTCCTGAAACCCTACTATTTGGGCACTTGGGCCCTCAGGGGTTGGTGGTTTTCCCCTTTGTGGCTTTCGGGCTTCGCATCTTTGAGGTCAAGGTCCGGGGTTTCCGGTTCTCCACTTCTCTGAGGCTTTGCCGGCCCGACCTTAACACGAAATAACCTACCCTAAGGGTCCAAGTACCCATCATACACTTTCCTAAATATCAACCTAGAAAACTTCTATCCGCAACCAAAGCACATTATTATTGGGTCCTTTGGACCCGTAGGGTTTATGTAAGGAAATCATACGAAGGAGCCCGGAAGCGGTAGCTTTCTAGGGTCCAGGTAAGCCCTGACTGCAGGCCAAAGCCACACAAAGCCGTGGGTTATAACCAGGTAGTTGTCCGGCATATGCCTTAACATCGTAGGCTGTTGGGTACACAAGAAACTCCGAAACTCCTAAACCCTGAACCATCGCAGTAAGATTGTAGCACTACCAAAGGAACCCTGGTACCCTAAACCGAATAAATACCGCCAAACTTACGAATCGAAAGCCATTGCAGAATTGAGGTTCCCACCTCCCCTCATTCGTACACAAACTTTATAAAACTACATAAACGTGCTGGTGGGACACCTGCAGAACACGCAACATTACTTTCAAAAATCGGTATATCCCTAAGGGTCCAAGTACCTAATAACGATTGACTTCTTCTCGCGATGAGGGTTGCTTTTAGGCTTCTTTTCCAAGGTCCGGTC